AACAGTGGGTCACAGTGGTAAATTTTTGCTCATAGTTCTGTGGTATTCTGCACATAGTTGATTATGGAGTTGCTCTCTCCAAAGAAAAGTCAAAAGAGGAACACAGAGGCAGGATCCCAGGCCAAATCACCACCTGCAGGCTAAGAAGCTGGCAACTGACCTTAGAAGATGGCAGGGCTGCCCACAGCTCAGCCTAGACAGTGAAAGGTACCTACTTGGTCACCAGATAACACATCCCACAGCAATCACTAAAGCCCAGCCGACTGGCCAAGGCTTTCTAGCCTGCATCCCACAGCCAGCAGCCTGCATCCCTCAGCCAAAGCTAGAAATTCAGACAGAAGGGCATACAGCACTAATGATCCTGGAAGACAAAGACACAGTCCCTACCAGAACATAAAATGCTACAATCTGGCTCCTGACATGCAGTACAGCACTAATCTGTAGTTCTCATTAAAACACATAGTCTAATTTTTTAAAGAGCCTCAACTAATTTCTTTCTGACCTATACCTAAAATGCAGGCCATTTCCCACCAGTACTCACTCAGAGCTCTCTCTGAAAAGCTTTGATGGTGTTTCCTAAGAAACATGGGATTCCTAAGATATAAAAACATTCACTAACTAAGAAAGTAAAGATTCAGAGAAATCCAATAACTGGCGAGGTCCTGCAGCAATTCAATGGCAGAACACACTAGGACTCAGGAGTCATATCCATTTCTTTTTTCCTTAGAGTATGTTAGGCTGGAAGGTTGCTCACCCTTTCCCTAAGACATTAAGGATGCCCAAGGCCAAAACCTCTCAAAGGAGAATGTGCTCAGCAGGCTGTCTGCTCACAAGCTTAGCTCTGACCCTACTGCACCACCCAAGCAAAGAATTCAGATGCCAGGGAGGGGTTTGCTTTAACTTGGTGGGGGTGAGGTGGGGTGGGGATGGGAGGGTCCTATCCAAAGAAATAGTAAGATTCCATAAGACCTACCAGATCCATCTGTCCTCTCTCAAGAAACAGGGATTTTTAAACAGAAAACACAAGAAGGAAAAACGAGAGAAATGACAAAGGCCAAAGACTTCCCCTGCCCTCTAGTTCACCTATCTGTCCTATTCTCTGGAAAATATTAAAATGATTCCTGAATCCTCAGCTAGCTCAGGCCAGAGTCCAGCCTGTCTGCTTCAACACTCCCTCAGACAACATCTGCTGAGCACCTCCATGGCGCCTCCCAGGGCATGTGTCAGCATTGTGCATGACACAAAGATAACCATGGGATCCTCAGCTTCAAGGAGAATGAGTTCAGTGAAGGATGAGAGTCCAGGAAAAAGTGAGCAATGTTGGAAGAAGCATAATCTCTGAGCTGTGGGAGAGGCCCAGACGGGACTGGAGATGCTAGGGAAGCTGGGGAGCATGAGGTCACTACCACTCCCAGCCCCTGCTAGGCACTGAACCCCAGGTTACACCAATAGCCCCAACCAACATGGGCACTGGAAAAAACTTCCCCCCTGACAAAAGCCCAGGTCAACATTTATTACTAGCAGTAGTAACAGTAATAATAGTTTAGTAGTGGTAACAATAATAATAACAGCAATAATAGTATCTTATAGTAGCAAACACTTCCTGTGTTCTAGGCATTTCTCAAATGTTATCTCATTTCATTCTTAGAACATCTCTACAGATAGAAACTACACAGTAACTACCTTTTACAGATGAAAAAGTTGAGCTTTAAAGAGATTCTTTTATTTACTCATTCAACAAATATTTTCTGTGTCAACCAGAAACCTCATACTACTGTAACAGTGAAAATTAGACAGAAAAAGTCTTGTACCATGTGGTGCATACATTCTGGTGGGTGCTTATTCAAGTAAGGAAGATGGGATTCAAATCCAGCCACTTTGACTATAGAACCTATCCAGTAGGCCACTGCTACTTTCACTTATCATTAACAATAAAACACCATACATCTCCTAGTTTAAGATGCACAGCTTTTTCCCACTTTCATGTCTGTAATTTATAATATATGTTGAAAGACATATGTGGGCTGTAGGCAGGGAAGTAAGTCATGATATAGCTCATATTACTATTCAAGTAAGGATTTAGATGAACACGGGTTATTTGATTATGAACTCAGTTGATTTTCTTACAAAAATTAACACTATCTAGAGTTGAATTTTCACTTAAATTAACATCCTAACATTACTTCAAACACATACCCAAATCCCACTATGAAACAATATTGAAAGGAAAAGCTATCGAACGTACAAGAGATCACTTATCACATGCAATATGATTAAAGGGAGTAGAAATCCAAAATCTGGAACGGACACAGAATCTTCAAAGCCTAAAGGATGAGTATTCAGATGACAAACATCTAATTGTCAGAAGTCTTTAGCTATTTAGCTTCCAGCAATACATGATCTGTCAAGGGAAAATAAAACTATGGATTTAGCCAATGAGAAATACAGACAAAAACCTACTACTCTTTGATAAGAGTAAAATTATACTGCCAGTGTAAAGGTACTAAAGGGATCAAGAGCACAAATAATACGCTTTATGAAAAGTATCACATAATCCTAAATTTATACATAATTTCTTACAACCAAACATTTCAGCAGAATTTCATTAATGTGAAAAACACCCATTTTTACTGCTAACTCTGCTTATACAGAAAAAACAACTCATATATAAGCATGTTAATTAATGAGAGCCACTAGAAACAATTTTTAAGAGTGTACATTTAAAGTCATATTTCCAAAACGATTCAGTTAACTCAAAGGCATATTTTAACATTATCAGTGACAAAACTGATACCATTATTATTATCAATGGTGTCTTAAAATGGAGAATTATGGCAATTATGACAACTTCCATTTATTCAGTACCTGCCAAACACTATCTGGTATTTTACATCCATCATCTCTAATCCTCATAACAATTCAATAAAGGAGGTACTACTAGACTGCCTGTTTTATATTTCAGGAAACCGAGGCTCAAAGAAACCAGTGACTTCTCAAGGTCATGCAGCCAATAAGCAGAGATCGGAACCAGGTCTGCCTCGGTCCAAAACTCCAATGGTCTACAGGTCACCAGATTGCCTCTCCCTAACAATCCACCTGATCCCAACCGCAATCCTGCCACAGCAAGCACAGATTTAAAAAAAAAAAAAAAAATGGGTTTAAGCTTTTAAAAAATTTTTTACAACTTTGTTTTTTGTTTTGTTTTGTTTTGTTTTCATTTTTTATGTGGTGCTGAGGATTGAACAAGTGCCTTGCACATGCTTGGCAAGGGCTCTATCACTGAGCCACAACTCTAGCCCTATAGACCCTTTCTTGAAGAAAACTTACTTATGATCTCAGAGCAGGATAGGCCAGCATGAATTCAAGGTAGCAGGGTGACAGCCAACCCAAACACTTCTGAACACTCTTTTGTTTATATGACTTCTTCTGTTTCTCAGTTTACAGTTGAGAATATGCTCAAACAGGCCCCAAATTCACCAACTGCCTCATCATTCACACAGCCAGTTAACTGACTGGTTCATTCCTTCCAAATGTGCCAATTTGGAAGCAAAACCCAGAGATGACAGTAAATACACTTGAAAAGAAGCAAAGGCGTCCACTCAGTTTCTGAGGTTAAAGCAGGAAAGGAACTATGTAAGACCTGGCCAGAGCACTGTTTTCCCTGGAGGCACTGTTTCATATCAGAGATATTAGAAGCAGAGGCCTCCTCCCCATGGGAGTGTGGAGCTTGCTGTGCTAGTCACTTTCTGGGGATCCACTGGAGGGAGGAATCAGGGCCCACAGTTGTGCTAGTCACTTTTGGGGATCCACTGGAGGACTCGGGGACCAATAAACAACTGCTCTTCTTCTCAAACAAACCTTCCCAGCATGAAAGGTAGGGACTTGCGAATATGTCCCCATTCTCTAGACCCATGCCATTGGGCAGTTTGGTGTGATGGAAAATCTTTTTCAAGTGTTTTCCTTGAATATTATCTCAGGAAAGGACCTCAAGTTGGGATACTAACAGTGGACTAAGATGATTCAAGAAATATTTACTGAGGATGAAGAAATAAGATTAGGGACCTAATAGTTGGGTATAGGAAGTAAGATTAGCTTAGAACTAACTACAGTGAACAGAAGGACAAGGTGAGTGTTATCCTGTTATACTAGAGGAAGAAATTGATTCCAGGTACAAGGTCAAGAATAAACTCATCTGATGCTGACCGAGCACCAACTAGGTACAGTACCAGGCATTTTGTGTACAATATTATCCCATTTAATCACCTCAAAGGCTCTGAAGAATCTATTCTAATACCATTATCCTCACTTTACCAGTAAGGGAACAGAGGAAAGGCAAAGTTCCTCACTCAAGGTCACATAGCTAATTTGTAAACACTGAAGTTGTTGACCAACACAGAAGCTTCTGCTATTTTCACTGTAGCAAACTATGTGCCCTGGAGCAAAGAAGTTCTTCCTGGTAGAAGAGGAATCAGAACTAGTTTTCCTCTTTTTAACAAGGGTATGACAGCAAGACCTGCTTCTCAAGGATATGGTTAAGGCTGAATGGACTGAAGATCATAAAGACTTCACACAGAGTTTGACAAACCACGGTGCACAGTAAATAGAAGCAGCTTTGTCATCACCACCATAACCTCTGCCATTTCTTCTTTTTTTCTTAAGGGTTTTTTTTTAATAATTTTTTTTAGTTGTAGTTGGACACAATACCTTTATTTGATTTATATATTTTTATGTGGTGCTGAGGATAAAACCCAGGGCCTCACATGTGCTAGGCGAGCGCTCTACTGCTGAGCCACAACCCCAGCCCCTGCCATTTCTTCTTTAAAGGGTACAGAATATAATGATCATTAGTCAAAAACCACCACCACCCCTGTTTTAGGAGGATGAAAAAAATAGTAAGTTTTTTTTCCTGCCTCTGAATAAAAGATCTTACTGAACCACGAGTTCATCCCATGACCACCTCAAAAGTGAGGTTCCTGTTTCACCCAAAGCCCACTCCATACCTTCTCTTCTGAAGAAACGGTCAGCTTGTCACTGGATATCAAGCTGCACACCTGGTCCAGACTTAGGCTAAGAAATTCTTCCCCCAGCATCACCTCTGGAAAGTGCTGCTCTGTTCCAAAAAACAGAAAAAGAAAAAAAGAAAAAAAAAGTACTAGTAGTAGCAGTAAAGAAAACAAAGTTACAGCACACTCCAGCTCTTCCAAGAGCCAAGGCCATGCCAAACTGTGGACTCAGGCTGGAGGATCTGGGGCCAGGGTGGAGGAAGAGGGAGAGACAAAGAGGAATCTGGCCAAAGGGAAACCGGCTTTTTAATTCAGCAGCACAGGCATCCATCGCCCTGTGTGATCCTGTGTTCTGAATATCAACACAGAAAAATATGGGGCAGAGAAATCTGAGGTTATATATTTTTCATGCTCCATGAGATTAATAATGGCATTGCAGAGCCCCACTGGGACCTGCCTACATAATTTCCCCTCAAGGCAAAAACACCGTTGCCCCTTGCAGCTCAGTCAAACCCAAGTGGGTCAGAACAGCTGGTTGACTAGAAGTCTCTGAGAATTCTTGTAAGTGGTCAACATTAGGAGATCAGAAGATGGGATCATAATTTTTTGCCCAAAGTCACACCTATTATGTTAGGTTTCTGGTTCACCAGCAGTACCAAACTAACACCCAGCTATAAGATGTAAAGCTTTAAGATGGAAGAGAATTTGAGGACAATTAGAACAAGGCAATACCCACAGGTGTGAGGTCCACACAAGGAGAACTCCAGGGGCAGTTCCTACCCTGACATTTGCCTGGGCCATCATCCTGCTAGTACTGAGCATTATATTCAGTGAAATGCCACCTGCTTCAGAAAGAAGGAATCTATGTTCAAATTTTGGCTTTGCCATTTATGAGTTGTGTCCTTGGGACAAAAGCATCACTTCCCTAGGCTTCACAACTGCCTTCTGTAAAATGAAAGTAACACTCCCTGTCTTGCTTCACTCCCTTGCCCCGATGAGAACAGATTTGTGTCTTACAAGCTCTTCCAAAGTGAATTCACCCAAAGATAGATAATTTCTAGTTTGGCAAGCTCTGGGGATCACAGGATCTTTGTCATTTGTCCTAGACCTCGCTCCTTTCTCAGTTGTCTCGTAACCCTGCACCATGGAGGAACACATGCGCTCCTCGCCCTCCAAGCCTCCCACTTCTTTCTTTGCAACTCCACCCAACCTGGTAACCTCTTGGATTCTCTTCTGGGCTTCATCACCCAATTCTCACTAGAGAGCATCCCTGCTTGGTCTAGCTGGCTTCTTTTTTTTTTTTTTTTTTAATATTTTTTCAGTTGTTTATAGACCTTTATTTTATTTATTATTTATAGGTGGTATTGAGAATCGAACCCAGTGCCTCACACATGCTAGGTAAATGCTCTGCCACTGAGCTATAACCCCAGCCCTGGTCTGGCTACCCTCTTAAATGAGATTCAGGGTCCCTCCATCCCAGGGAGGCTCCTGAAATATCAAGCCAGCTGCACTTACATAATGAAAAATAAAATCAGATCATGGGTAAGCCCCTTTCACACTCATCAACTTCTCAAAAATCAAAGAAATTAAGATGTAATTATTTCTTGCAAAAATCACTGTTAACTTTCTATATGAAAATAACTTCAGACTCTTGTGTGAATTCCCTTCATCCCAGATTCTTTTTTTTAATGTTGACAATTTGTATATTTATTATTTGTACATCTCTTTAAAAAATTATTCTAATTTGTTATGACAGCAGAACACATTTCAATTCATATTACACATATATAGCACAACTTTTCTGGACACAACATACAGTCACACTATTCATGTCTTCATATATGTACTTAGAGTAATGATGTCATCCATCCCAGAAATTTTAAATGTTACTAGTTTATTCTCAAAGATGGAGTTATAAACAATCTCTTTCATCTTTCACTAACAACAACAACAACAACAACAACAACAAAAGGCTCTCCACTTGCTCCTTGCCAGCCTAAGGATCTCTGTCAACACTATTAAAACCTGTCCATCCTGAAACTTGGGACTATGTTTGTACATAACAAGAAAAACCTAAAAGTCAGATTCTTTCTTTTCGTGGTGTTGGGGATAGAACCCAGGGCCTCATGTATGCTAGACAAGTGCTGTACCATTGAACCACACTCTCACCCTGCTTTTTATTTTATTTTATTTTATTTTATTTTGAGACAGATCTCACTAGTTGCTACGACAGACCTCCAACTTGCAATCCTCCTTCCTCAGCCTCCAAAGTTACTGGGACTACAGGTATGCCACTACACCCAACCTAAAGGTCAGATTCTTCATAAAGGGAAACAACTGCCAGCATCAGCAGGGTAGGAAGCTGGTCTTTGCTTCTGTAAGTCAGCAGGAAAGCCTATAGCTTTCAGGTTCAGAGGAGAGTCCTGCACACTGCAGTAACCTATCTGGTCCAGAGCCACATCTGGCCTTCCCATGTTTGTGTTTGGTTGAGTAAAGAACTATCATTTGAAGAGGAAAAATAATGAAGAAAACAGGAAGAGATAAGAAAGTAAGTTCTATGCTGTGGGGAAAAAAAAAAAAAAAAGGTTTTTTCCTTACAAGCTCATAAAGCCCAAAGTAGATGGGCTTGGATTTTGAAAAGAAAGACAATGGATATGCAGAAATGCATATTCTAGGTGGTATGAGGAAAAAACCAGAAAGCCTCAGAGCTAAATGAAGGCAGAAAGTAATCATCTTCCACATCTTTCCATCTCTAGCTTTGTGGGCCTGACAGATTTAATCTAGGTCCCTTCTTTCCAGAGTGGACTGCTTCTTTGTTCATACAGAACCATCCCCTGAAATCCTCCCGAGATGCAGTATCTGGTAGGGAGCATGCAATAAGGGGATCAATGTCAGTAGCCTCTCATCCGAGGTTGGTGCCCATGAACCCAGGAATTTGCAGAGCATGAGCAGGAAGCGACCAAGAAAGGGATCAAAGAAGTAATCTCACTGCTCTTAGAGCCTGTGAGATCTGCTAGGAAGAGGGCATGTACAAGGCAAATGCATCTGGAGGGCCTCCATGCAAGGCCACTTTTATTGGCCATGAGCAGAGTTTCTGGAACCAAAGTGAGCAGATAGCTGTTCCTAAAACTGAAGATGTTTATGCCCAAGATGAAACAAATTCTACTTGGACAAGGGATGAAGCTATGTATACAAAGCAAAGAACAACACGTGACTCCTGGAGGGAAACTGACCAAAACCAGAGTAACCCAGGGAAAAGTAACTGGTGCCCATGGAAATGACCACTGGCATCACTTGTGCCAAAATTGGAAGAAACCTTCCTGTAAAGGTCACAGAATATATGTAATGCTATACCACTCAAAGATTAAAACTAATTAAAATTAAATAAGTAAAGGTGGATTGAAAAGGAAAGATGGAAATAAGGAGAGGGAGGAAAACACCATCTTCTTTTCTCTTTTAAGTCTAAAGAGTCAAGGTGGAGCCCCTAAATTTTTGGCCAGAGTCCCCTTTCTGTTAGCAACACTTAAGAAACAACAGAGCCAGGCACACACCTATAATCCCAGCTACTTGGGAAGCTGAGGCAGGAGGATTGCAAGTTCAGGGCCAGCCTGGGCCACTGAGTAAGACACTGTCTCACTAAATAAATAGACAGACAGACAGACAGATAGACAGATAAATAGGGCTGGGAATATAGCTCAGTGGCAGAAGACTTGCCTAGCATATATGAGTCCTTGGGTCTGATCTTGAGTGGAGGGGGGTGGGACGCGGAGGAGAGATGGGAAAGAGGGGAGAGATGAAAGAGAGACACACACACACACACACACACACACACACACACACACACACACACAGGATTGCCCTTGATTTTCTGGGAAGAGGATTCTGGTAGAAGATTATTACTCAGCTCTCTTAACAGCTGCTTCCCAGGAAGTATTTACTCTGCTTCCGGAAGATACTTCCCTGAGAGTCGCCATCTACTTTTAACAATTACTTGGGTTTTTGTTCATTTTGCTTTGCCTTGATTGTACTAATGGAGAACATGATGAAGAGCTTTGGCTAAGAGAAAAGCTGGCTAAGTGATCTCCTATGGTCACTTCTTTCCACACCTTGTCTTCTTCATTCATAAAATGGAAGAACACATGACCTATGTCTTGAGATTGTTCACTTGAAGGTCAAAGATGAGACTTATTAGTCTACTTTGGAATCTTTAAGAAGCTCTTAAGATTGGAATTGCATTTGATCTATATAGTGCTTTTGGAAGTATGGTCATTTTGACAATATTAATTCTGCCTAAGAGCAAGGTAGATCTTTCCATCTTCTAAGGTCTTCTTTAATTTCTTTCTTTAGCAATCTGTAGTTTTCATTGTAGAGGTCTTTCACCTCTTTCATTAAGTTGATTCCCAAGTATTTTATTTTATTTTTTGAGGCTATTGTAAATAAGGTAGTTTTCCTTATTTCCCTTTCAGAGGATTTGTCACTGATATACAGAAATGCCTTTGATTCATGGGTGTTGATTTTATATCCTGCTACTTTACTGAATTCATTTACTAGTTCTAGAAGTTTTCTGGTGGAATTTTTTGGGCCTTCTAGGTATAGAATCATATTGTCAGCAAATAGTGCTAATTTGAGTTCTTCTTTTCCTACACGTATCCCTTTAATTTCTTTTGTTTAATTTCTCTGGCCAGTATTTCAAGAATTATGTTAAACAGAAGAGGTGAAAGAGGGCATCCCTGTCTTGTTCCAATTTTTAGAGGGAATGCTTTCAGGTTTTCTCCATATAGAATTATGTTGGCCTGGGGCTTAGCATAGGTAGCCTTTATGATGTTGAGATATGTTCCTGTTATCCCTAGTTTTTCTAGTGTTTTGAACATGAAAGAGTGCTGTATTTTGTCAAGTGCTTTTTCTGCATCTATTGAGATGATCACATTTCTTATCTATTGAGATGATGAATTATATTTATTTATTTCCATATGTTGAGCCATCCCTGGGATAAACCCCACTTAATCGTGGTACACTATCTTTTTGATATATTTTTGTACTTGATTTGCCAGAATTTTATTGAGAATTTTTGCATCTATGTTCATTAGAGATATGGTCTGAAGTTTTC